TAAACCCTAAACCCTACTGAAACCTTAAACCGGACGTCATCAGGCGAAGCTCCGACCGGCGGTGGGCCGAGAGGCCTTCAGCGATGTCATCGAGGTCCCAGTCCCTGCTACGTTTTGGGACTTTGGGTTTAGGCTTTAGGGTTTCGGCTTTAGGGTTTCGGGGTTTAGGGTTTGGGGTTTAGGAGTAGGGTGTTAGGGCTTAGGGGTTTATCATAAGGACCCTTAGGGAGTAAGGACCCAATAAGGCCTAAGCCTATGTAAGGAAGTGTAGTCCCCTACCCCCCTCCTTGCGCCCCTGAGGGTCCCTATGAGTTTTTTTTCCCTCTCGCATGGCCGAGGATCTATGCCCACTAGCGAGGTTGAAGATAGGATATTCCGAAGGCAGAAGACTGTACTAGACAGGAATGATCAGCTCCACAACCTAGGCTTGGAAAGACCCCTAAAGACGAAGTGGAACAGCGATCACTCCACGTCATCTAAGTAATGTTTTAGGGTTCAGGGTTCAGGGTTTAAGGTTTAGGGTTTAGGGCTTAGGACTTTTAGGACTTATAGGGCTGAAGGTTGAAGATGCAGGGTGTGTTTGCTGTTGCTGTCCATGCTTGTTTGATCCTTCTTTGGTCTGTAGGGTTCTTCCCTGCAGCGATTGCGGGCGGTGTTTACTTCTCTGGCCCAGGGCTCCTTTTAAAGGTCGCACTCCCCTGGTTTAGGGTTGCTTTCTGGTCTGCTTTATGGCTTCGGCTCGGACAGGCCAGGGGTTCCTGGTTCGAGGGTTTAGGGGTTGGAGGTGAAACCGAGCGGATGTACTTTTCATCATTTCCACATGGAAAGTCACATCTGGCAGCCTTCAAACTAGTCATGCGAGGAACTCGGTACTTCAGCGTGGTGTTGGGTTTGAGGTTTAAGGTTCTAGGGTCTGGAGTTGAGGATCCAGGATTGACTATAAGGGTCCGGATACTTCGAAGAGAGAGTTGCAGGGTTTACCGTATACTATAATGGAATGATTAGGTTGGCCCCTCAAAGCCCTTTATCAGCAAATTTCGTCCATCAGATCCTCTTGGGGCCAATATCCCTAAACCCTAAACCCTGTAACAGAAGGTGTGACATGTCCTAAAGGCCTGCCTAGGTTACGCTGGGACTACTAGGTACTTAATTGATAGCAACCCATCCTGAGGTTCGAGCGGGCATGCCGGGACCTTCCACAAAAAAGGAATTCGGCCTAGGGTTTAGGGCCTAAGGGTTTAGTTCAGGGCTTAGCCTTTTCGCCGCCGCATGTTGACGCTGGGGTCCGTGCTTGGCGACTTTGCTTTTCAAGACGCTTGCGGGGATCTTGTGTTGCGCGCCTTCTGATATGCTGCGGGATTCTGCTACGACTATGACCGCCTGGATTCCCACAGGCTGAGACACAGAGGAAAGCCTGCTACACAACCATCAGGTGATTCTGCACAGCACTGCAGTCACCGCCTTTGCCAGCCTCACCCCAGGTCACGACAGAACCATCGCCAAGAACGGCAGCGAAGGCGAATTGAGTGGCTTGGATCTGCTGCGCATTCTGCAACTGACCCTGCACAGCACTACTGTCACCACCAAAGTCAGCCTCACCCCAAGTCACGACAGAGCCATCGCCTAGAATGGCAGCAAAAGCCAAGCCAGTGGCCTGGATCTGCTGCACATCCTTCAGCTGATCCTGCACAGCACTACTGTCACCGCCATGCTGAGAAGAACCCCAAGTCACGGTGGATCCGTCAGGACGGATGGCAGCAAAAGCCAGTTGAGTGTCCTGGATTTGCTGTACGTTCGTCAACTGGTCCTGTACAGCACTACTCTTCCCACCAAAGGCATCCATACCCCAAGTCACGATGGCGCCATTGCCAAGAACGGCAGCAAAAGCGAATTGAGCGGCCTGGATCTGGCGCACATTCTTCAACCTTGTCAGCCTCACCCCAGGTCACGAACCATCGCCGAGAATAGCGGCAAAAGCGCTGCCAGCGGCCTGGACCTGTCGCACATCCTTCAGCTGATCCTGCACTGCACTACTGACACGACAGGAAACCCAAATTGTCTATCCCCATTCCGGCAGTGAGCTGCGCAATCAACAACAATCACACCCGACAGTCGAAACGAAATTCAAAACGGTGGGCTGCTGCGCCACGACATGAACACGACTCAAATGTCTTTGCCTGTGATACGGCGCATGCATTGAAGTTGACACGGCCCAGGTTCCCACGTTCTAGCTCCATACATGAGGAAGATGTCCCCATATGCTACTACTACTACCACTAATACTACTACTACTACTACTACTACTACTACGACGACGACGACGACGACTACTACTACTACCACCACCAGCACGACGACGACGACTACTACTACTGCAGACATCAACATAGCCGGTAACAGCAACACCAACACACCCTCAAATTGTAAACATTACTTTTCTTTGTTATGTATCTGATAACATGTTTTGTTGTAACTACATGCAAAAATGCTTTGTAAGAACATGTAGAACATGTATGCACATGTGTGCATAAATGATCATGTGCACACCAATAATCGTGAATATGTATGTGTATATACATATATATACATATATATGCTACCACCCCCCTCCGGTATCTACCTTTTCTCTATTTTGTGTGCTTTTGGTTATAAACAATAATCGTCATCCTGGTTGCATAGAATGCTGCACCATGATTGTGCCAATGAGGCGTTGCCGCCTACGTTTGTTTGTGGCTTCTGCATCATGGTTGTGCCAGTATTTGTCACCTAGGTGGAAAAAAGGTACTACATTTACTGCAAACAGAGCAAAAGCAGACGTAGATGAGACACTGGTGCACGTTGCCTACATTTGGGCTATCTTATGTCATACCCCGTTATACCGTTTTTTTTGGTGGGGTTCCTCACTAAAACTGAAGACAAAAGAAACACTTCCTTCATTGCTATAGTGTTTATAGTTGGAACGAAGGACTTACGTGTAGCGGTTTGAATAATTAGCAATAACTTTTTCTTACAGTCCCCATATTACTATTTTGTAGTATGCCTAATACTAGAATTCCAAACTATCTATAGGAAGAACCTTAATAAAGATCCTAGGCTTCCGAATCAAGCTCCTTTGCTACGTTCTGTATCTGCCGCCTTTGGTCATGGGCTTTTGTACTGACATGCCCCGTGGCCCAAGTCAGAATTCCGCGGTAGGTTCTTCGACCACAATGATAGCTGGATAGACCCAGATCCTGTTCACATTAGCAATGTCTTTTTCTATCCGGAACCTCTGCATTCCGATTACATCTTTTTCTTCTGGGCACACGTGAGTTAAAGACAAAAGGTGACCCTTAGAGGATTTAAGCTTCATATACCATTTAGTGATGTATCGTGTAAGGGTATATGGATCCTCTGTGTGTGTGTGTTTGTTTGTGTGTGTGTATATATATATATATAACACACACAGACGCACGCTTCTTTACTCATACACATGCATGTATTAACATGTGCGCAGAATATACACCATGATGCCTTGATTCATTCGCGAGTAAATGCGAGTATCTCAAAAGCGACGACGTGGCAGGCTGCAACATTCGGCATTTGTTTTAATGTTTGAAGGCTCAGGAGGGTTTAGAGGGTTTCAGGCTCAAGGCGTCTACGGTTCAAGCCTGTCAGGCATTCAAACCCTAAACCCTAAACCCAGCCTTTCGTTGAGAACCTTGGTGCCTGATTTGCAAGAATGACGAGAGCACCTGCAGCTGACGAATGGAACTTGGTGCATATCTTACGCGAAAGCTTGACGTGGGCGATGCCTGGCAGAGGCTCCCGTGACTTTTGCAACGGGTTAAAGGAAACTACAGGTGGGGAGTTTAGGGTATATGGGGCTTCCATGAGGCTTCTATAAGGTATATAGATGAAGCCGAAAGCACTGGC